GGATGACTGTTTGAAAATCAATTATTCTAGGAATGCTTGACTCTTTCACTGTAACATTAAGCTCTCAAAGCAGAATATCGAGCCTTAACCATAGTATATGTAAAATGCCAAATTTCCTTAACTAATGTGTTGCTAACTAGTTTCTATCAAGAATCTGGAAAATCTGAGAAATAAACTTGTCATAAATATGTATGACAGAACAATCAAACATTTATTCAGTATGTGATTTCAGACTGCTAGCATGATCAACAAGAGAGTAACTTGACAGCGCCAACCATGGAAATGGACTGTAAGGTATGTATTTCAAACCCTTCTTGTTCCCTCCTAGTTTTTAATGGTAAATACAATGCTGGTAGTTTGATTGTGTTCATATACTGCCAAATAGGCTGGTTGCTTGGGTGTTTTTCTTGTTTTCCCCCATGTAACACAGATATAATCAACTTTCTCTTAAAAAGTCCTCCTTCCCCTTGGGTAGATTGCTCTCACTTGCTTTGCCATAATCAGCCAAACCAAACCATTGTATATTCGACTCCCCATATTCTGAAAAAGATTATCACATAATTTCCAGACAAATACTTTTGAAATGAATGAAATGTTACAAATACTTTTGAAAAAAATGAAATGTTTACTGCTAAGTAATTAACGAGAAGTTATCGTGTGTTAGATACCACAGCGAGTGACAACACATACTTCATACAAATGCGAGTAGCTGCGTTCAGATAATTTCGGCTTTTGGAGGACAGGCACTCAGAACGTGAGCATCCCCGATAGCCGAACTCATGGTCTCGTTTTACAATCATAGTTTGTATGATATATTGGTGCATGCATTGCGCAATGCACTTTGTTATTATTATTATACTTAATTCAATGTTAGATTTTTAGTTACTTACTTAGTTAGTTTTTTTTTATTGAATGTAATACATTTGCTTCATGTTGCCGTAGCAACGCAGAGATTTGAAAAATACAGCTGCTTGGAAGATTAAAATAGACAGCAGTGCTTTAATACCTAATAAATAAATACTCTAATGCTGTTGCCATCCAAAAAATCCAGATATTTAGATGTTCCAGATATGAGAAATTAATTTAAAAGCTTATAAAAGCCAAGAACAACAAATCATCTCAGTAGTGCCGTAGTTCTAGGAAGTTTGTTTACTTAATGCTGTGATTGATTGTAGCGATTTCGCTGTGAGATAGATTAATTCTCTGTTTTGATTGATTTTGCTAAGGTTTGACATTTGTAATATTGTTAGAATTTTTTGAAAAAAAAATATTTCAGCATTTTGATTTATTCTGTGAAAGAATAAATTTTTTAAATTTTTAAGTTAACCGTGTTTTCAGCCTTTGTATTCAGTTGTCTATATCAAAACAAACAGTGTAGTAAAATTAAACAAAAATAGTCACGAAATAGAATATTCCAAGAAAATGGAATTAAGATATTTTTGCTGTGAAATAAAAGATAAAATAATCTTGATATGTAAAATATATAAGTACCAAAGTAATAATATTAACGTCAATTACGAACAACACAAATGAAATTAACATTACGCAGGATTAATGAGAGAAGAAAAGTTTGAAGAGCTCAAGTTAGGAGTGAAAAGCAACAGTCATGTTAGTAAAGTATGACAAGAGTGTGAAGCGGCCAATTAATGCAGGCTACGTCTGTCCGATTGTAGCTTAACATTAGAAGCCTTTTACTGATGGGTGATTCATCAAGGACGCCTAAGAAAGCTGGAGAAATTGTTCTCCTGGAAATGTGAAGATTTTCAATCAATTTATTGTCTTGAAATACAGTGCGGAAAGGTTAATGATTGCCCGATTTAGTGATAGATCAAAGCAAATCAATCTAGTTCGAAGTTTCATGGCCTGCGACGAGAGACGGACATTAGTGGCAACTCAATTGCAATGTTCTTGTTCGTGTGACAAGAATTTTAACATTTTTGGGGAATACTGGACTATACGATGTGTATACACAGGAGAAGATATATTTACTGTGTTTTTGGACTTCTGCAAGAAAATACAATTATTGCAATATACCTGGCAAATTAAATTCTGTAGCTCAGATGGCGCTCATCAATGCGGGAAAAACAAGGGCTCGTAGCATACTAACAAAAAAACTTAGTGAAATTCACAGTCAAACATCATCATATGCATTGTATTAACAGCAAGAAGTTCTATGCACAAAAGTAATAAATATGGAGAATGTTTCGTCATATATAAAAAAGTTATAAATTTTTATAAGATTATCGAGGTTTAAATCAGCGTCAATTCATGATTTCTAAGGAGTTAGATAGTGAATATTCGGGTTTGTCCTACTATACCGATGTATGTTGGTTATCTTGCTCCAAGATTCTCACACAATTCCAGGATTTGAAAGAAGAAATATACCAGTTTTTAAAAACGAAAAATCAAGACGTAAGTTTGTTTTACGATCCAATTCGGATACAAGATTTATCTTTCTTGGTTGATATAACAAAACACTTAACGATTTAAATTTATCGTTACAAGGAGAAGATCATATCATTACGAACATGTTTGACATAAATTAAAGCATTCAAATGTCAACTAGTTCTTCGGGAAAAAGAACTTAAAAATGAAGATTTGACGCACTTCCCGACGTGCAGCTGAAACAAATCAAGTTTAGATGATACTTGTTCGTATCAAAAATACGCAGAAAAAAAATTGCAAATTTAACAACTGAATTTGAAAGTGGTTAAGATTTTATTTTAGTTCCTCGAAACAATTTTTTTGTTTTCTCGATTTTTCTCAATAAGTATTGATCAGTACCCAGCCTATGCAAATGGAGGTGATCGAGATTCAATGCAACTCAATTGAAAGCAAAAATTCATTGAAGTGGGTGTGATGATTTACAAATATTTACCAGCCAGGTTTGAAAAATACTCGAAAATTCGCATATGAATTATTTCCATGTTTGGTAGCACTTATAGGTGCGAGTAGTATTTCAGTCATGAAAGGTAATAAGTCTCCTTTAGAAACCGTATCATGATGCTCACCTTGGTAGCGTTTGAAAGTATCACGGCAAACAAAATTCCCGAATAGGAACGATAAAGCAGAGAAGAGAAGTCAGTTCAGGAGAAACATTAATTTTTATTGTTCTTTTATATAAAATATATGTATGTTATTATGTATTATTCGAAATAAATTACGCTTCGATGCATATTGTTTTTTTTTTTCTTTGTTTTTTTTTTTTTTTTTTTTTTTCCAGCCCGACTAAAGTAAACCTTGTTTGTTTGGCCCAAGTGTACCTATGAGTTTGACATCCCTGCTCTAGAGTATTAAAAACAGTGCACAGTTAAGACAGACTGGAGTCCTAAGCAGAGCATTTTTTCAAGCATCCTCCTATGACACTTTTCTTGTTTTTATGAGGAGAAAATAGAATTATCATTATTTATAAGATCATTTTGGGGCCATTAAAACTTGAAGCTTTAGATCAAGGCTATAATTAGGCTCTGCTTTCAAAAATTCTAAAAGGTCTTCACTGACTTCAGTTCTTTCATCTATAGACACATTTGACATTAGAGAGGAAAATATCAATCTCTTTGTACCCTTTTTTCCAAGGAATAGCTTAAAAGAATTTATTAAACTGTTACTGAACCTTATTATTTATTTATGACATGATGTTGTTCTTTAGCTATGCTGATGATAGCAAGTAAAGCTTCACATGATTGCTAAAAATAAAAATTTGATTGCGTAAATTTGTCAAGGGAGAAAATCAATTTATCCATCAAGAAGATACAATTAGGCACAAAAATAAGATTCTTAAACAATAGAAAGTCTGAAATCTGGACGTCGAATATCCAGATTAAAATCTATACCTCCGAACCAGAAGCCAATAAAATAAATAAATAAATAAAAGCACAAAATAATTTGAAAAAAATTTCCCTTCCCTTATAAAAACTAGGAATGTAGAGTATAATTCTCAGTAAAAAGAAACAAGTGGGTGCAAATATGATTTTTCTTCAGACTAACTCAATTCCTGCATGTCACTTTCAAACACCTGCTGGCTAGGGAGTTGAATAATAGTCAATAACAATACATTGACTGGCATTTTACTGATGCCGACCAGGATAAATGTCATCTTGTTCTGATGCTGTTGAAAAGATATTTTGTCAATGGTGGTGTTTTAAGCACACCTCTATTCCTTTTGCTTTGATTGTTTGCTTGATTCTTTTGAGGTATTTTTGGAGATTGGATGGATTCATTTGAGAAAACTCAGAAATTGTATCACTTCAGTTCAAAGTATTCAACTGCAACAGTAGATATCAGTCTGAAATGACATGTTTCTAGAAAAGTAATATTTTGATACTGCCATATAAATAATATTTTTCCCACAGCCCACCAACAAGTGGTATGCCCCACCCCAATATGACTTGGAACTTTAATCATCCCCTTAAACCATTTCAATACTAACCATTTTCAGAATTACTGAGTTAGGTGAAAACACAGCACTATAAAAAATTTGCTTATGTAAAGTATCTACAAGTAAAATGCAGATTATGTGACAATAAACAAAATTTCTACTTTCAGATTTAATACATCTTTCCTTTAATAACACTAAAAATTTTAACAGTTATAATGTTGCAAAAAGTTTATCTCATGCTTTTCAAAATTAAAATATTACCTAGATAAAAATGAATTTACTAAATTTTGTTAAAAATAGAATGGAACAAAAAATAAATACAAATGAAAAGAGGAATTATACCCTAGAAAAAGGAGAAATTATACCCTAGGGAAGGAGGGTATAATGGTCAAATTTGACATTGCATCATTTTTGATCATGCATGAATTTTGAAATAATCACCAAACATTTTTAATATTTAAATTTACATAGATCTTGGAAACTTATTGATAAAAATTTTGAATTCTCTTGAAATAGGTCAAACATGTTTAAATTTATAATGATGTGCACATTAAGAATTTTAATAAATATTATTTCCAAATAATGTAAGATATCCAAAAGAAATAGCTGAGTTTTATTTAGATTAAACCTAAATTTCAGATTATATAAGAAGAAAACAAGAAAATTTCATTTAAAAAGAAATATGAAATGCAACGCAAATTCAATTAATATTACCAAACTAAAATTTTGAAATTTCAACAAAAATTTGCAGTGATTAGTGATAATATGTAATATGACACATGTTCATGTTTCCAAACACCAGAGCTCATTTGGAAACATGAAGCACTATAAGCTACATATAGGCAGCAGTAGTAAACATTTCCAGCATCTTTTCCAGTATCAACATGCATCTCATGGTGCAATGTGTACTTTCATACATGCATGTTCAAAATTTAATGCATAGTCTTTGAGACAGTGGCATTTTCTTCAGTCCATTGCTGAAAGATTTACCCTACACAAGAGAAAATGCAATGGAGAAAAAGAAATAAATTTTTTCATGAAGCAAAGAATTCCTGCAAAAAAAACAATGAAAAACGTTCAAAGAAAATATGCACCCAATTGAGAAATTATTTCTAAATAATTTTCGTGTTCTTAAATGAGAACAGAGGGGGGGGAAGATAAATAATAGGCTGTTTATGAATATTTTGGTAAGATTTTCCTCAAAATTAAACTGTGCACTACTACTTCCATTATGTTTCACCACATATGCCACTGAATTAATAACACTATTATTAATTGAGAGATAAAAACTAAATATCATAATTTAGCCTTTTTCTTCAGACTAACTTATGATTTATTAGAATTGTAAACTGAAATTCTAAATTCATAAAAGCAAATTAGTTTTTTTATCATTATGCTACCAATGTAAACAAATAAGCAATAACAAGATTTAATCAATATATATCACATTTTTAATTTTTAGGATTTGATATGCTGATTAAATTTTATTTTACATAACAAATCCCTACATTTCTTGAAATTTGAACCTAGATTGCAAATAGCATTATTGATGGTCAGAACAGTTGAAAAAAGAAAACTTTTCATTAATCCATTAAAAGCAAAAACAGAAAACACAGCTTCAAGCAAATTATTCCACAGTTGGGGAAAGATGAATGTCACAGTTCACAGATGATTATGCACTTTGCAATATCTGACAAGCATTATGTGCTGATTATTTTCTATTATGGATGCAAATGAGTTGACAATGCATTTATGTTTAAACTTCAGTGTCTGAAAAGTTAAGCATTAATAAATTGTTTAAATATATAAGCAAAATAACTCAAGATCTATTAAAAAAACAGTGGAATATACACCCAAAAGTAAAGAAATGCTAAAAATAATGTTTACAAATCTACCACGTGAGTGAAGGCAAAGCACATAAGTGGGGGGTCAGAGACTTCAAACCTGGCCATGACAACATCCGTGATGATTCCAGCTCCGGTTGCCCATCTGTAATCACAGATGATATGGCGGCTTCAGTTGAAGCAAAAATTCTTGAGAACAGAAGCTTCACCATAAGCACTCTTTCAAACGAATTTCCTGAAGTGTCTAGGTCAGTTCTGTATAAAGATTGTTTCTGAAAAGTTAAGGTTTAAGAAACTGTGCTTCCATTGGGCCCCTAACCTCTTAACAGAGGACCGTAACAACAAAGGTTTGATTGTTCGCTGATTTTTTTTACTCGTCATAATCAAAAAGGTGACACAATCTTGAGTTGGATTGCAACGGGAAAAGACACATGAGTTTTGCATGTCATGCCCAAATGAAAGCAATAGAGGATGGAGTGGAGACACACACTCTCTCCTATAAGGGTCAAGGCCAAACAGACCTTATCCCAGCGCAAGAGCATGATGCCCCTGTTTTCGGATAGGCATGGTGTTTTGTCGGTCGACTTCATCCAATGCAGAACCATCATTAATGCAGTAGCCTATGCCCAAACCCTGTGAAAGCTACACACAGTGATTTGAAATAAAAGACGTGGCATGCTGACAGAGGGAATTTTGCTATTTCATAACAATGCAGGACCTCACACCGCAGCTCAGACCCGAGCTTTTTTGGTTTCTTGGCTGGGAAATTTTGGACCACCCCCTACAGTCCAGACCTTGCACCAAGCGATTCATTTTCCCCCCTATCTCAAACATTATCTCGGCGGCAACCACTGCAAAAATGATGAAGACGTGAAAACGGTCGTGACCTCTTGGTTACCTGAGCAGGCAGTAAATTTCTCTGAAGAGAGTATTAGTTCTAAGGTATGATAAGTGTTTAAACAAACTTGGCAACTACGTTTAAAAATAAAGAAATGTATGTAGAATCTGGAAATAAAATTGGTTTTTGAAAATTTTCTTTCATTTGATTTTTATTTTCAAATGGCCCTTACTTAAAAAGCATTCCTCACACCTTATAAATAGATTACATTTTTGTCAAAAAGTTTCATACATACATAAAAAATGCTCATAAGTTTCCCATCATGCAGAATTTTTTAATAATTGAAATTTTGTTTGTTTACATCCAGAAATGAGTGCAGATTGAGGCACTTGTGGATTACACAACTACAGATTATCTGAATTTCACTGTATTTTTATTTTAACCCCTTGAAAAATTTCCACGAATACATGAAATAGAACTATCAAAATTCTTATAAACTATGTACAAAATAAAAGATAACAGAATCTGGGACATGTTTTGGAATAGATCCTGAAGCAACACAGTGCATTAAAATCTGGGACATTGATCATTTTATTTACAGCATGTACTACTCTATCTAGTTCCACTGTCAGCCAAGTTGTAAGCTTCAGGATTTTGCATCAAAGTACTTTTCATTGAAAGCCAAATTTGTATTAGAAAAATTAACAAAGATAAATAATTCCACACTAAATGCCAGAAATTTCATGCATATCAAAATACTTTTAACCACCATGATATGATTATCTCATTTTCTTAAGCAAGAGGGAATTGGCAAAAAAGCACAAATCTTCTAACCTCTATTTTTCTATCACTTAGGCAGTTTATAATTGATAAAGAAGGCATAGCCCTAATCATGAACACAATAATGCACAGAAGCTATTTATACTCGCATCAAAATTTATTTTTAACATTCTAAAAAAATTATATTCTATGAAATATTGAATCAATATAACCCATTTTTGCTTGGAATTGTGAAAAAAAAGCCTATTTAAGCATTATCCAATCAAAAATGATCAAATAGTTTCTAACATGCAAATCAAGCTATTTAATCATCTGATGCAGAATCATGAGTTTTGTGCAAAGTAAATATCCGAGTAACTTTCTACAATACACCATTTGATTTCAGCATGTAAAGATTCAACGTGGTGTGTTATGGCTCTGCAAATCATTGACCTTTAAGAATCAAGGCTGATAACCATGGAAGCAGTGAGATATGTGAATATTTCAAGACAGTCTCTACACTATGAAAACAATTTTAGAACTCCAGAATTGTAAGGAGGCCTTGACAAACCATAAACAAATAACAACTGCTTCTCAAGACTGATATCTGACAATAACTACTTAGAGTATCAGGAAGTCTGCTGCTTGACAGGTAAATTCAGAGCTTATAATCACCACTGGAACTGTTATATCATGGAAAATGACAACAGAAGGGATGTCTTAGAACCTTACGTAAGATTTCAGAGGTGCATTTGACTTTTTAATTTATTATAGAAATGACTTTTTATTTGTCGATAATCACATTCACTCATACTGAGCAAATCTTTACAAATTCCTTCCAATAGAAGACACTGAGTGAATATTGTGGCCAGCAAAATCTTGTTTTCTCAATCCGATAGAGGACTTATGGGACTACCTTGGAAAAATAGTTGCATGGTGACAACTTCCTCCTAGAGATATAAATGCCCTGAAGAGATTATTGCTAGAGGAGTAGAACTGAATCCCCCAAACTGTGGTTTACAACATTATTGCCAGCATGAAAACACACGATTTGTAACCAACTCAGGCTGCAAAATGTGCCCAAATGCAGTGGTCAGACATTGTCATGATTGGCCTACCATGATGAGTCAAGTTATCTTTACAGATGAGTCTGTTTTTTGTTTTTGAGAGCGACTCCAGGTAAATTCTAATTTAGAGAGAGTAAAGCGCATGCCATAAGCCCTAAAATATCTGTACAAGCAGATACAGAAAGGCATCATTTTGAATGATCGTACTAGCCTACATATTTTTACCAGTGCAACTATGCATGCAGAAATATAGAGTTGAAGTTCTTGATGCTTATGTCAAGTTGTTTACAGACATAATTAGAAATAAGTTCCTCCCACATAGACAATAATGCTCATCACGATCATACTGCACCAGTAACAGCTTATCTTGAAGGCGAAGGAATCCACTGGATGGAGTGGCCCACATATTCTCTGGATTTAATTACAGTATGCATGGGATGCTCTAGAATACTGATTAGCATCCCTACAGCCCTCACCTAGCACTCTACCAGAGTTTTAAGGCGCTATTTATCAAAAATACACTTTGTAAGCACATCCTGGGCAATTTAAGGTAAATCACCGAAAACTGCTCTAAAGTTTGCATTTCAATGAGGCCTGACTATACACTTTATTAATTTTTTCTATGTATCCAAAAAGTTTTAATTCATACCCTACCCTATTTTATATTACATTTCCTATGTTCTCATAACCCCCTCCCCCCAGAAATAGGATTCCACATTTTGGAGATATGTCAGCAAGTTCCATGCTCTTAGGTGTACAATCATTGAGAAGTTACATGAGCTTTGCCCCCCTCCTTGTCCAAAATCCAATTGTGGAATTCTTCTGTGGCTAAGAAAACATAATTCTCTTAGGACAGGATAAAGTGCATGTCCCATCAAACACCTTAACTTACCAACATGTTGGATAATGACCATCAATGCGTAGAGTTGCCTCCAACTCATAAGTACATCATCAGGCATAGAATGATTCTCAAGTATTAGTGCTGTTGGTAGAGCAAAGCCTGTAAGTCTTGTTTTCTTGTTCAAAATACTATTACAAACAAAGGCAACAGTGGCTGGTTTGTCAATGGAAGGATGTGTAATGGCAGCCTTCATATTAAATATATTCTTGCTGAACACCTGGAAACCATTTGGTCAGGTGTAAGATTCTGTGATGAAGTCTTTGGATGGTAAACACAAAAAACACTTGTGGTTGTCAGTGGAAAAAATTTATTCCCTCTACCATTGGTCTGTCTGTTGCTATCCCATTAGCCAGTTTATCTTGTCTGCATATAATCATATGTGTTTCAGCAATGATCTAAGTACTTCCTAATACACAGGTCAAAGTAATCTAGATTCTAGGGAGTTCTTTGAAACACCCCATTCTGCTCTTCTCAATCTAGTGATGTAGCCTGTTAAAGTCTGATAACTGGACACAATGTCTTCAACTGCATTACAGGGGCATGTCTAGTCAATAATCACTCAGCAGATGAACAAGAGGTACCCTAGATAAAAGCTCCTTAAGAGTCATTTCACAGAAGGAATGGAAAAAGCATCATTACAACCCCTTAGTGGCAAGACACAGCATTTAACCACTCCACAAACATAAATGATTATAGCTGTCGTATGAAAGAACCCTAGGTTTTACCAACTTGCTGTCTACCTGAATAAAGCTGCACATTGAATTTGCAGCAATTCAACACTTTCATGCGGTTGCAGGCTTTTTTCCCCAGTATAATCAGTCAGCACATTGACACTTATTAATATAATGAAATTACAAATTTATAAAATTTTAAGCACATTTAAGAAATTTAGGGGAAATATTATGAATTTAAAAAGAGCAATGGCTATCCATTTTTCTTTCTAATTATTTTTTAAATAATCAAAAATATAGAGAATACAAAAATAGGGCTTAACAGCATTCTAGAGCTGTTTATTTTTTATTAAATTTCATATTAATTCAATTTCATGATACAGGAGGTAAATATGATATAAAAAAATCATTATCCCACCTGACATATATTTTAGTTACAAAATTACTAATTTTTCACCCTCATAAACCAAGTTTTCATCATTTGTTAAAATGTAAGTTGAATATTCGAATACAAAAAATTAACTTTATACACTATATTAGGAAAAAATTATAAAAACTTTCACACTTTGATAAAATTTGCTTCAATTTCATAAACCCCCCAACAGTTAAAAGTACCACTAGACTTCATAAAGAGTTGATTTCTACATAATATATTGATATTTCAAACCTTATATTTAAAAATCAGACTAATATAACATGCAACAAGTAATTACAGTTTAAACATCAGAGCACACAATAAAGATACATTCAACTTTCTAAAAATTCTTATAAAACTAAATTTAAAAATTTACCTCCAGGAATGTCTCTGGAGTCGTAGATCCATGGCAAACTGGTAAGCTTTTCCTTCCATCTTCAAACAAAGAGAAAATTACATTACTTTTAATAATATGATGTTAATTTAAATATCATCTAAATTTTAAAAAACAAATGTATGTATGCAAATTATCCACATTATACCATTGCAGATCAAAATTACTAGAAGTGTTCATAAACAGATTTCTATTACAAATACACAACAAATGAAACGTTTCAACATAATGCAAATAGTTTCAGATGCTAAAGCCATGCAGTCCCCCAAAAAATATAGTTCAATAATATGGAGCAAGAATCTTTGCATAAGCACCATAATCAGCATTTGGCCCTAAAAGCTGAAAGTCCTGAAAGCTAAAAAATCAAAGGAAAGTTAATTACATTTGACTACAAATAGTTTAATAGAATTACAAATATTTACACAACAGCCCATTTGGATTTTGCTTACAAAAGATAAACAATTTGAAAAACACTCTCAGCTTGGATTCACTAAAATTGGTGGGTTTGATCATAAAAAACTGGTTATTGAATCTATAGTAAATTTCTGCAACTATCTCAGGCCACTGTTTTTTTTTTTTTTTTTTTTTTTTTTTTGTTTTGTTTTGTTTTGTTTGTTTGTTGTTTCCTTTGGTATATTGAATTTATTTGCTTCATTTTTAGTAATAATTTTTTACCATATTTTTATTTAATGGAATTTACAGCCATGCACTTTAGATATAACTAGTCATTTCATATGCAGAATTGTAGATTTTGTTATTATAAATACATACAACATTTATAGTGTGAAAATAGATTAGCTAGAATCTGAAATGTACACAGAAACACTTCTGAGAAACCTTTGGCATGATACACGGATTTCTCAAAATTTGGTGTTTTTCTAGAAGTCTTTTTCAAAGCTTAATGGGTGATCTTTCCTGAAGCTTCCAGCAGGCAAAACAACTTTATATAAATAAGGCCCAAAGCCAGTAATCAGTTCAGTTCCGAATTACTTTAGTAACCAATGCAGTTGACAGAATCAACTGAGTGAACTGGGAATAGCATCTTAGCTATTCTTTGTTTCTCTCATGTTAAGAAAAATTTGCCTAACCTCTGCATTCTGTCTGAGCTTTAATTACAGGTGTTAATTTTGTTCCATGCTACTACTTTTTCAGTACACTGTCAATCGTTTTCTGCTCATTTGGTATAGCAACTGAAGAGTTGTATTCACAACTCCATTTAGATTGCAGAAACTGGCATCAGAATTGTGAATATCTTTGAATGCTGGTAACCAGATAAAAGAACAGCTGAAAGCATTTATGCAAATGACTGCCACAAATTCCATCAAAATAAAAAATTGCACAGAAGTGGCTGCAGCAGAGTACATCACTGTCCCTCACTCAGATGAAAACAACTGAAGCATATTACGTTGCTGAGATAAGGAGAAAAATAAACAACATTTAAGTAGCAAATGCTATTTGAGGTAAAGCATTGCCACTGCTGAACGGAAAGTTATGAATGCTATTAATCAGAAAGCAATCACTAGGAAAAAATTTGGAAATTAGAGAATGTGTATAGAAAAATCGCTAATGTCCCAGAAGAAATTTCTGCAGTTAATGAGATCTAAGAAAAAATTCAAAGATGACAGAAGAAATTATGGGAACCTATTCAATCTGTAAACAATATCCTAGCTCATTCTTACATGACTGATGCTCTGGCTCATCTGCTACATATAAATATCTCAGCTCATTCATCTGCTTCCTTAGCCAAGCTTTAATAATATCATGGAAAATCTTCATCAAATAAATACAAAACACAGTAACAGCACTCTGGATCTGAAATCAATTCTGTTAAAGATAGTATTTCCTCTCAGCAAGGAGTTTATTCTCCAATTAAATTTGTTCTTTTGAACTTCAAATTTTCTGTAAATCCTAAAGAAGTAAGGAAGTTAGTGGCATGTTTCTTTCTCATTAAGAAATGGATCTGGAAATTTCATAAAAACATTTTGAAAATACCTTCATTTTTTGAATAAAGAATGTCTTTTCCAAGATAAGAAATGCTTTTAGCAAATACTGTAAATTGATTTGATACTAATTTTACCTGGTTTGTTTCCATGTTTTTCAAAAAATTATTACATTAAAATAGCTGCTCATTAATAGAGAAATTTATTCAAGGTCTATAACATGTTATGAACTTATATAAATGAATCCAAGTTTCAAATAATCATGCAACCGTGCACATCTAGCACACTTCAGCAAGCTGCTTGTATATAAACACACTGAAATTTGCCTACATATCACAGCATTTATCACACATCTCTAACCATTTAATGTCAATACATATCTTTCCTGCTATTAACTACATTTATTTATTGAACTCAGTATAATTCAGCATTTCTCGATTTCTATTTATTTTCACACTAGCATCACTCCTCCGCACCTTAGTTATACTTCATACAAACTCTTTTTTGATCATCCTCATAACCTCAACATGCATAAATACAGCAATACCTCCCACAGTCTGGATAATCAGCTCAGCCATTATCCTAGACCAGGGGTCAGCAACCTTTTGAGTCGGAAGAGTCAAAGATTACAATTTACAAAATTTCAAAAAAAAAAAAAAGTTTTTAAAGAGCCACCAAATTTTTTCTTGCCAACAATAAATAGTACTCGCATAAATACATTTTTTGATTAAAAAAAATAATCTATTTTTTCATAAGAAAAAATATCTTAATTCATATATAAAATAGTGTTTTAACAACAATTAGATAATATATATATATATATATATATATGGCATTATTAGATAATTATATTTAGGTAAAAAATTAAAACAGTTAAAACAATTTACAACACTACTTATTTACAACTTACTTATTACTGTACTTCAATAAAAAAACAATCGAGCAAACATATTTAGTGGGAGCGTTGGCTTTGCATGGTTTTAAAAAGTTTGGATAAATTTGACTCATAACTGGTTGTTTTAAGTTTCAAACACGACTCTAAATTTTTATTTGTTAGTTGGCTTTTTACTGTACTTTTAATTATATTCATGCAAGAGAACGCTTGCTCGCACGAATATGTCGATCCGAAGATAGTCAGCACTACAAATGCCAACTTCTTCACCCTCACCGTAGCAATCTGGAAGACTATACCATGCGTCGAATATAAGTGCCTCAACTCGCGGCATTTCTTTTAAAGCTGTCCACTTTTGTTGCGTTACATACATTCATTTCTGGACCTCCAACTTGCTTTTCAACTCTGTAAATTTTCCACTCCACAAAGCTTTACTTTTTAAATCAATCAATTGCATTTCTAGAGATTAAGTATCAATTCCAAATGGCTCAATGTGGATTTCGTTACTATTTGTGTTGAGAGGATTTAACTATGAATGCTAGAGTGATTTTGTGGTTTTGAAATTGCTCAAATCTGTCAGCAAATTCATCTTTAATTTTTTTATAACTCTGCTGAAGTAATTTGTGTCGACAGTTGCACTGGTTTTATCGCGATATTGCTTTAGAAATTGAAAATGAAGTAATTTACCGCTCTGAATATCTTCTTCAAAAAGAATTAATTTTTCTTCAAAACAAACCAATGCTTTTTCCAAAACATAGGCTTGGTTTCCCTTTCCTTGCAGTTTTATATTCAGCTCATTTAATTTCGCTGGGACATCCACCATAAAGTAAAATTTTGCAATCATTTGTCGTTCTCTAATTCAAGGTGATTTATGCCTTTTTCCTTTAGGAATTTATTTATTTCATTCAAGCAGAACGTTTCAACACCTTTCCTTTGGAAAGCCATCCCACTTTATTGTGAAGAAGGAGGTTGGAATACTGAGTTTCCATTTCGTTTAAAAATTCATTAAACTGACGATGGTAGAGCGTTTTTGACAAGATGCTGTTAACAATCTTAATTACCAAATTCATGACCTCAACTATTTCGGCCTGGAAACGTTTGGGCATAAAGCGCTTCTTGGTGTTCTTGGTGCACAAAGCGCTTCTTGGCAGTGAAATGTAAGAATATCGTGGTTTATTTTGCTCTGAAGAATCGTTGTTATCCCTTTATTTTTTCCTGTCATACTTCTGGTTCCATCAGTTGCTATTAAAACGATTTTATTTAAATCGATCTTATTGTCTTCAAGGCATTTTTGCATGGCATTCGCTATATCTTCCCCTCTATTTTGTCCCGAGAGTGGTAGCAATCCTTTAAGTTCTTCTTTTGGATCTTGGGAAGACATGCCTGACAAAAAGGGGCAACTTGTGCTGTGTCTTTTATGTTGCAAGACTCATCTATAGCAAATGACAAGGCAGAAGAAAGTTGAATATTTCCAACTGCAAATGTTTATTGGAAGCATTTTAGCTATTGTATCTTATCCTATTTAGAAGATAGTGGCAAATCTTTGATTTTTTTCAAGATTTCTGGTTTGTTTTTGAAATCACAAAAGAGTTCTTCAGATGCAGGTATGAAGCAATCTTTGACATACTCACCATCTGTGAATGATTTGCCTTTTTTTTTTTTTTTTTGCAATTTCTAATGATACCGCGAAGCTTGCCAGATTAACATTACTTGTCAATTGCGTCCAGTTACTTAACATGGAACTTGATTGCTGTTTTTGTTTTTGGAGCTCTTCGACAGCTTTTTTTCATTCTTCACCGGCTGGATATTTACTAGCAAGCCGAGTACCTGTTTTAGTGAAATGTCTCTCTAAATTTGATTTCTTATTGTGTGAGAGTTTTTCGTGGCAAATAAGACAAATCGGAAGGCTATATGAGTTGCATATGAAAGCAAACAACTGCGTCCAATCCCAATTGAATTCTCGATGCTCTTCTTCAGTACTTCTCTCTTTTTTTGGATAAAAAAATAATATTTGCGTATGGAATTAAAGAGATCCAAAGAGCCGCAGGTTGCCGACCCCTGTCCTAGACTATTTGAAACTGAACTACTCAACTAAATACGCATAAAAAGTTATAATTGATCACAATTTTCCCCTCACTCATTTTCAATACATAAAACTCAACTAACAAATTCATATGAAAGAAATAACTCTAAAAAATACAAGTTTTTGTAATTCCTTTTTACTCTCTAAAAACTGCAACTATGATGTGTGCACCTCTTTTTTTTTCTTTGGCCTTTTCCCTTCATACATTTTTCTGTAGCAATTACTCAAACTTTTTAATCATGCAACAAACTGCAGGCTATGTTCAATATTAGCATCAACTCCTAAAATATGCTGACAATGTTTCAACCATTTCAGTAATATTTGATAGTTCTACAGCTGTTAATTCTTTTACAAGCACTTCAACACAGTTATCAGTGCCTAAATTGTCCACTCATTCTCCATAAGCTGTCATTCATCTATGTTAATAAATATTTCATTACCTAGTTCGTTAGTATTCGATTTGAAGCACTTAATTACATTAATGGAATCTAATGTAATAAAATCAAGTCATCCAGTTTCCATTATATGATTAATGATTTTAACAAAATCATGTATAATGTGGTATACATTTCCATACTCACACGGCTTGCTGGTATTTCAAGTCACATTTCACCTACACTTTTGATAAATATTCTGACATTGTTTTTTGACAATGTTTTCCTCACTTCCTTCAACTACAGCTGTCAGAGTTCAAGGATGAATGGCTCAAGCTTAAGTATATACATACACAATGGAGAAAGAATTGTGATATAGGTTATCTATATTACATAATTTTAAAACTACACAAAAAGACTCGACTGTAAAAAAAAAAGGGGGAAATGATCATTCATATAATAAAAAATTATTTTTTACACTTTATTTTAATTTTCCATAGTTAAAATTTATTCTAACTGGTTTATAATGTAGCCAGACAATGTACCCCAAAACAATATACATTAATCACACATTACAATACACAAAAATGGAACAAGCTTTGATTTACCTAATTCGTACAACTTGCTTTTAACACTGACAAGTGCTATGAAGTGTAGATTGCATTCCTCATCCGAATTAGGGGCCTAAAACAGTAAAACTGAATCAACACCTAAAAATTAATATTTTTAAACATTCATTTCAAATAATCATAGAACAAGCTTTTGCAAATCAGTTTTAATGAGTTTACAAGAGAATTATTTTTTAATTTAATAAATTTTATTGCTATTTTTCATATTTACTTTTCAATACCAATTTCCAAGAAATTTCTTTAAAAATATTGCTTGGGTTTAACAATTTGTGATATACTGACCTTGGAGAGTCTATTTGTTTCAGGATCATCCAAGGTTAGACTCTACTAAAAAGACTGAGTAATGAATTCTCGCTATACCTTTGAAGAACAGATACTGCAGAAGAAGGTTTAAATAACCTTTTCTTTTGAACTAAACAAAGCCTTCACGTACTTGGTGCTCACAATTACCACCACTTGTGGCTCAGTAACTCAAACAGAAAATAAAAATGTAAAAAACACAATAAGTAAGGAGGGCTACTCGACTGGCTACTTAATTATCTAAACTGCTAAATTGGCTGCACACACTGAAGCCGAACCTAGAATATCAATATAATCTGAAGAAGGTGGCCAATGCCAAATATTCACGTACGGAGCTACTTCAAACATGCAGCATAAACTCGGAACTAACTCTCCTACTACTGCTCTTAAAACCGCTGCTTAAATACTGATTCTGAACTCGCTTAGATTTGCATACTACGTTATTAAAATTTACATTCTGGCAGGAAACTGAAATCAGAAGAGAAAGGAAAGTTTTACAAACTAAAAGTAACTGGTTAGAATAAAATAAGATCTTTAAAACCTAGTTCTTGAATTTTCAGAACTTGCACTTAAAGCTTAAACTTTTGTTCATTATAATTTATTACCACTTACTCAATAACATGAAAATATTCAATGTTTTCAATTTACATCAAATATGAAAAAGATTCCCTTAATGTTACTGTTCCGGTGCACCGGAACAGAACAACTCAACCTGACTCTTTCGCTTTGGACTAGGCCAAGCATTCTAATCGGGTGATAGTCAGATTAGATGAAGCATTCGCAAGGCAGTGCTATGCTGTATTCTTCACTGTTTTTGTCTGTTCTCATACTTATAAGTGTTATATGTTATTTTGTTTATACTTGTATTGTGCGTATTTAATATAAGTTTCGTGTTTTAAAACGAGGATTGTTTGGTTCTACATTACATTGCAAAATAATATTTGGAGGTACCGGTGGATTAAAGGACTTTGATTTCGGTACGTCATCACTGCAACGCTGCATTGGTACAGTAAGGGATACTACGGATAGTTTAGCAGCGAATCATTTTAAAGACCAAGCAAGATAATTTTTTTTCTTTTTTTACAAGTTTGCTTGGTTTTCCTCATTCCACCATACGTCGTAATGGAAGACAGGTTAAGATTGCAAAAAATAGTCGAGGTAGTGCGAAAGCTGCTTACAGAATTTCAAATTTCATTAAAGATGATAACAGTTATTCGAAAATACGATTAATGAATAAACTTTCAAAAAATTGAAAGCATTTATTCTGTTTTGACAAGGCAGGACTCAGAACTTCTGCCGGAAGTTCTGAAATGGAAGATTGCGAAAAATTAAAACAAAGCCAAAAACACAAGAACTTGAGAAATTAAATGTTACTGTTAATATGCAGTTACTAAGTTAATGAATGTCAAATGCCAGTTTATAGTACTACAAATATGCTATAATTTTAAATTCGAGAATAAATAGGCAGTCTTTAATGGTAATTACAGAAACTGGATGTCTTTCAAGGACTTATATGTATCATTAGTGATAACAATGAAAATTAAGCAACATTCAAAAATTCAATTTAAAGGGTTTTTAACTGATGAACGGCTTATTATTACACATTTCCATTTCAGAAAAGTTATATGGAAGCCTGGGGAAACATTATATCTGGTATGATAAGAAAAAAAAAAACAATGTCACAGCACAATAAAAAACTTCATGGATAAATCTTGTGTGATTAATGCAAACTCAATTAATTTGCGAAAAGCCGATACTTCTGATGAGATTATCAGAGGTTTAAAAAATTATTGATCCAAAATAATGAAAGGGATGTTTGGCAATTATATTTATTACAGAAGGTTGACGAAACATGAAACAATGGTCTGAGTTCAAAAAGTGGAAATTTCTAATTTGAATGTTATTCAATTTATAATGATAGAGTCCTCTTTTAGAATTTTCCACGAAAAGAAAGGGAAAAACTAAACCTAGTGTAAAAGATTTTCTGTTACAAAAACTATAAATGTATTTGTGTAAACCAGATATTTTCTCTTAAATACCCAATTAAAGCACTAACTGTCAAAGAAAGAAATCAATTTGTCAGGAAAAATCTTTGTTTATTGTTTTTCTAGTCAGCACAAAAAATCTGAATGTACATTCAACATCGTTGTCATCTGCCGTATTGCATCATAGTACTCTGTGTGAAAATCAGTTAAAAGGTTATTCACATCTGCGTCTCTTTCTGAGAGCAATTTTCAGTCAGAACAGCAAAGAAAGAATCCAACCGGAATGAAATACCAAACATTGCGTCGATGAAAACAAAACGGAATGTAATTCAAAATAATAGCGTTCAAACAACTTTTGGTTATTGCCAACTGCGTATGTAAATGTAATGATTCGATGGGTCAAAAACTAATATTAGAATGCTTTGT